CAATTCAACACATAGTGTATACATTTTGATTTCTTTATTCTAGGGTCTTGGTTACAAGCACAAAACCAACCCTGGCTATTTTAGCAAAGCACAACATATTGTTAGTATCTTTGGGAGTGACATAATAGATGAGAGACTGGAGGATTGAACTCTAGGAGATAGGAAGCAGGGATACTCTGGGAGATGGGCAAAAAAATTGCAGCCAAATAGAGTTGGAAACATACCAGGGGATTCCAATTCAATCCCATTAAGGTGGCATGTGCCAATGCCATCTCACTATTCCAAGTGATCAATTTCAGTTCACAATTGATCATAATGAAAGGACTAAGAGTCAAAGGGAGCACATAAACAAGTCTAGTATCTGCTAACACTAACCGATAGAATAAATAAAGGGGAGAGTGATCCAACATGGGAAGTGAGATACTCAGCAGACTCATAGAATGGCGGATGTCCTAAATAGCACTCTGGCCTCAGAATCAGCCCTAAAGGCACTCGGATCTGGCTGAAAAGCCCATGAGAGTATTTCAGGCATGGAAAGCCAAGACACTCTGGCAAAAAGATCTCTGTGAGTGAGATCCCAGTGGAAAGAACAGGTCTTCAAAGAGGGAGGTGCCTTTCTCTGAAGGGAGGAGAGAACCTCCACTTTGACTATGACCTTGTCTAAACAAGATAAGAGTCGGAGAACTCAAGGGGCTTCCATAGCCTTGGAAACTCATGACTGGTGCATAGGGAGATTACTGATGCCATAAACAGGAGTGTCAATTTGTAAAGTCAACAACAGGAGTCACTGTGCACTTACTCCTCATGTAGGATCTCTGTCCTTAATGTGCTGTACACTGAGGCTTAATGCTATAACGAGTACTCAAACAGTATATTTCACTTTGTGTTTCTATGGGGGTGCAAACGATTGAAATCTTTACTTAATGTACACTAAACTGATCTTCTGTAAAAAAAAAAAAAAAGAAATTATCAATTCCCAACTTGACTCTCACTGGGATTAAACATGACAATAGGTCTGATCTGATTTCATCATTATTTAAAAAAAAATCATCTATTATTTTTCACTTTATGTTTCTGTGTGGGAGCAAACTGTTGAAATCCTTACTTAAGGTATACTAAGCTGATCTTCTGTATATTAAGATAATCGAAAATGAATCTTGATGTGAATGGAAGGGGAGAGGGAGTGGGAAAGGGGAGGGTTGTGGGTGGGAGGGACGGTATGGGGGGGAAAGCCATTGTAACCCATGAGTCGTACTTTGGAAATTTATATTCATTAAATAAAAGATAAAAATAAATAAATAAATAAAAATTGCAGCCAAAATTGTGCCACAGAAATAATCTGACCTCCTTCCTGCCCTTGTACTTGATCAATATAACTGTTGAATTAGCCTCCTAGGAATGAGTATTTGATTGGCTGGGTTTAGGAAAATGGTAGTGCCAAGTATGGGTTAAAGAAGAATCTGCCAATCTGCCACCCTTACTTACGAAGTGGCAGTGAGACAGCTGGGATGATGTTCTTGTTAAAACTATAGTAAGAGGACAGGTCTTGTGGTATAGCAGGCTAAGCCACCACTTGGGACATCTGCATCCCATAATGGGGTGCCTGGGATTGGGTCTCGCCTCTGTTTCCTATCCAGTTTCCTGTCAGTGCATCCAGAAAGCAGAGGCTGATGGCACAAGTACTGTGTTCCTGCCACCTATCTGGGGTACTCCAATGGAATTCCTGATTCCTGGATTTGGCCTGGCCTAACACCAACGGATTGCATATTCTCTCTCTCTCTGTCCCCCAGCCTCCCTCCCTCCATTAAGAAAAACTATAGCAGATAGAGAATTTTCTGAAAGGGATGATGGGAACATAGGAAAAGGGAAGAGGAAATCAGACACAAGACCGCCAAATATGACAAATGTCTTCTACAGGAAGATAAAGTCTATGGCACCAAAGTAAGATGGACAACTTCTTATGATTTAACAAAACCTTCAGATTCATATATCAGCCAGATTACCTTTTCTGAGTTACCCTCTGACCACCAGTAGCTGGAGGAAATACCAACAACAGCATTTCACATCTTGAAATCTGTGTCTACATATACAAAGCCAACTACTCAAGGTTGCTGTGAAGATAAGAAATGATATATATATATATATATATATATATATATATATGCAAGAGGTCTGGCAGAAAGAAGGTGAGCTGTGAGTCATGGTCTCTATCGTTTGAAAGCTGGATTGTCAGTGCACTTTTACTCAGATGACTTTAATCTGCATAGGTTTTGAAAAAAGTCATTGAATGAATGGAAGAGAAAATGTAGTTCAAAAATATAAGGCTGGTACCCGGCTCACTTGGCTAATCCTCCGCCTGCAGCACTGGCACCCTGGGTTCTAGTCCCGGTCAGGGCACTGGATTCTGTTCTGGTTGCTCCTCTTCCAGTCCAGCTCTCTGCTGTGGCCTGGGAAGGCAGTGGAGGATGGCCCAAGTCCTTGGGCCTTGTACCTGCATGGGAGACCAGGAGAAAGCACCTGGCTCCTGGGTTTGGATCGGCACAGTGCGCCGGCCTTAGCAGCCATTTGTGGGGTGAACCAACGGAAGACCTTTCTGTCTGTCTCTCTCACTGTTTAACCCTGCCTGTCAAAATTTATGTATGTATATATATATAATGCATATATATATATATATATAAAATACAGGCATTATAATAAATGGCCCCAACCATAAAAGACAGATGACTCCTGTATTTTATATATAGAAGAATGTTTTTAAATCTACCAGGAAAGCTAGATAGCTCTAAGAACTGGTTGAAATAAGAGGAGAGGTAGAAGCTATTCATGGTTATACAAGAAAGGAAGTACAAAAAAGTCCAAAGTACCAGTCTACATCCAAGCTATTTTCTATGCAGGTAGGTAGCTCTTCCCAGAGTACAGCATGAGCAGCGTGCTTCAATAGTTCTACACTTTAGGTCTCTTTGTTTCAAATGGCTTTATGTCTCCATATTATTTTGTTCTTTTTAATGGAAAAATGATGCAGTAATAAACTTGAGAATTAAAATTTTGCATAGTTTTACTGCCTAAGCTAATCATCTTTTCTTTTTTCTTTTTTTCTTTCTTTTTTTTTTTTCAATTCATGCTACCACAACTATGTATTTCTACACAGTTAATAACAACACATGCTTACTATGTAATGTTGTGCTCTATTTCCCATGCTGTATTAGGGTACTTTTCTACATGGACCTCAGAACAATGGGCTGAATCACCCTTTCCCTCACTCTCTAACCTTTCCTGATTTTTATCTTTGCATAGCATTTATCATTGCCTAACATCATAGAACATACTTCTTTCTTTAATGACTGCATATCCCACTAAAATAAATTCAATGCAGCAGGGTAAATAGATATGCCTACCATATAGTTATCATTTAAAGCACATTTATTGAATAAATGGGCATTTAGATAAATCCCACACTTCTGTTGTAGTCCATGCACAAATGAATGTATCTTTGCCTGTTGGGTTTCTTTAGCATTACATTGATAAAGAGAATATGTGCTTTTGATCATACTCATTCTCATTCTCTTTGTCATTATTCAACCATTTTTTATTCATTAATTGACATGTTTGTATTGGATGGTGTTTTATGTCGAAGAAAAAATATGAAAAAGGTAGATTATGTTCTCTATGGGATTATTTTTTAAAATTATTTTATTCATTTGAAGGGCAGAATTAGTGGTTCACTCCCCAAGTGGCTGCAATGGTGAAGGCTGGGACAGACTGAAGCTAGGAGCTTCTTGTGGGTCTCCCAACATGGTGGCAGGGGTACACAACTTGTACTGTCTTCTGCTTTTTCCAGTCTGTTAGCAGGAAGTTGGATCAAAAGTGGAACAACCAGGATGTGAACCTGTACCCTAATGTGATGCCAGCATCACAGGTGGTTTCTTTATCCACTATGCTACAATGCCAGTCCCTGGAACTTTTATTCCTGTGAGAGAGATGGACAATAAATAGACAATATGTGATCAGTTAGTGACACATGCTATGGAGAAAAATGCAAAAGAGGGGTGGGGCTGTCAGGCCTTGCTGAGGGTTGCTTTGAGAGCGCTCTTAATGAGGTAATAGATTGAGGCATATGAATAGATGGAGACAGAACAGCAATGGCCAAAACCCCATTGCAGTACACATTTTCTATGTATTACCCTACTCTATTCCAATTGACCCAGATCTCATCAATTTTATTTGCAATTGAAGTTTTTGTTTTTATGCTAATTTATTAAGTGCAGTTAGGTTACTTTTAATTGTTTTAGCATAATGAGAACAGACATTTGTTTCACATACTTGTTCCCTGCTTGCATTTCTTCTTAAATGAACTCTTTGTTCCTGTCCTTTAGGAATTTATCATTGGAATGTTGATACTTTTCTTATAAATCGGAATGAATCCATGTATTAGAAATAAAAATACTTATCCCAATTTGATATTAGTTTTTGTTTTGCTACTTTTCATAATTTGGCTTTTCTTTGTGGTTTTGTATACATTTTTGTGGGATAAACTCAACATCGAGAAGTGTTTGTAAGGGCAAGCATTTGGCACATGGTGAAGACACTGATGGGACACACATATCCAATATATGAGTGCCTAGTTGTCAGTACTGGCTCTGCTCTGGATTCCAGCTTCCCACTAATATGTACCCTGGGAGGCAGCAAGTTATGGTTCAAGTAGTTGAATCTTGGCCACCCAAATGGGAGACCTAGGACGAATCTCCAGAGATTCTGGCTTTGGCCCGGCCTAGCCTTGGCTGTTGTGGGCATGTTGGGAATGAACAAGTGGATGGGGGAATCTCACTCTATTTCCTCTCTCTATCCCTGTCACTCTTTCGAAGAAATAGGATACATTTTTAAAAATTGTCTGTGGTTGATGTTGTTAATGGACTGACTTTTTTACTTTCCCTGTTTCTACATTCTGTGCCATACAACTTTTTATTCTCTCCCACACAATGGGTCAGCCATGTGACTGACTTTAGGTAATAATATGCATTATTTATGGCAATGACAAAGTCTGGAAAAGGACTTGTGCATTGAGTATCTCTTGTTCTGGGCAGTGGCCATGAGACTACCTGAGCTACACTGCTGGTGGATGGCAGACAAGCTGTGCAGAGAGGAGATGTGAAGTCCCAGCCCAGGCTGTCCTAGCTCTGTACCAACAGTGAGATGAGCAGAGTCACTAACATTATATACAGGTGAGTGCATTCACAGGAGGAAACCCGGTCAGAGCAGCTGAGCCTCCATATACTTGTGAGTTAAATACCTGTTCACAATATATGTCACAGAGGTTTTAGGCTTGTTTTCTATGTACCCTGGTTGTTGACTAGAGCAATTCATAGAGTGCCCATTCCTAAATTACCACCCTGGTTGTGATACCTGGCTTGTGTTGGTTGCAGATGTTAATGAAATGAAAATATTTAAAAATAAGCCAAAACATAATGCCAGTGTTGGTCAGATATTAAAAATCCTTTTCTATGTCCTCACATGCACTGGGTGGGTAAAAATGAGAATAATAGAAAGAAGCTTTCTTTGACAGACTAGTTTGATCAACATGAATGAGTTCTCTTTGAATAGTACATATATGAAATTACCTGAATTCCAAGAAGAATGTAGAGGCAGGTGTTTGGTGCAGTGGTTGAGACACCTCTTGATGTCCCCATCCTATATCAGAGTGCCTGGATTTTAGTCGTGGCTCCACTTCTGAGTCCATCTTCCTGGTAATGCATACCTTATAAGGCAACAAATCATGGCTCAAGTAGGTGGCTCCCTGCTACCTATGTGGGAGATCTGAATTGATTTTCTAGTTTCTGGCTTTGGCTTAGCCCAGCCACAGCTGGTGTGGACTTTTGGGGAGTGAATCAACAGATGGGAGATCTCTGTTTGTCTTTCTCCCCTTCTCTGGATTTTATATAAATAAAATAATTAAAAATATAAAATATAAACATTTTAAAGGCAAATGTCCAATGCATTTCCAATAAGGAATAGTGAATATATTGCTCAATATGATACTGTCGCTTTCTGTAATCACAAGAAGAGGGGAGTAAGATATAAAACATCATGCCACACAGTAGTTCTCTGGTAACATTGATAAGGTCATGGCCTTTCGGGACATTAGACCATGATAAGTAGTGACTTTCAGGTAACTAGTATCACTGCAAGTGAACCTTCATTCCAGCAGTCGATTGCTCCTTTATCAAATCTATGCCTGTAGCCTTAAGAAAGTCTTGCTCTGTAACTGAGCTAAATAAGTGAATCGGAAGGCTCTCTCTGGTTTCCTGTTTGTACCACTGCACTCCAACAGATGAGACTGTACTTACTTCAAATGCCTGTGTCTAGAGTGCTTTTCTACTCAGCTTCCCAGTCTGGGAAGGAAACTAGAGCAAAACTGTGACCCAAACAAGCTACAGTCATGCATTGGTATTCAGTTCATCCATTTGTTTCATTTTTGCATATCCACTATTTCAAAATGGAGAAAGTTAATCCAGCTACACATTTGATTACTGTTTCATTTGATGTCAGGTATTTAAAGGTCTTTTTTTGCACACTAGGCTTCAAAGTATGGTCCTAGTCAGCTTATAAAGTTATTACTAATTAGGGCCTGAACATTTAAAGAAGGAATAATCATATTCAACATAATCCAAAATTTTTCTGTCAGGAATAAAGCTAACAAAAGAACTAATCAATGCGTAATTTAATGGCAGTGCCTTGATTATACTTGTAAGTGAAATACTTATTGAATTTGCAATTTGTTATTTTTAAATTTTGCTGAAAAATGAGTTTAAGGTCATTTGATTTAACTAAATGTCTTTGAGAAATAACTAAAATAGTATCTAAATTTCACAACTAGGCTGCCAATGAATAAAGCTTTAGATATACCTGTGGTAATAGTGGCATTTAAATTTCCCATTTGAGCTGTAAAATATTATATGCTTGATTATATAAAGTTCAAAGGATCGCAAAATGATTATGAACATCTGAGTATTTTGATGAATACAAAATTAGATTGACTTGAAAGGTGGATTTATGCCAGGAGGAATGTTATTATTTTATGAATCAGATAACCCAAAAGATGACCCAATAATACTTATGCTTATAACAAACATTAAGTAAGCACTTGGTATAATGAGAGTGCCTGAACTGAGAACTGATTAGCAGGGTAAGGAGACTGGAAATTTTAGTGAACAAAAATGTTTCTTGACAAAATTCTAATTAGTCAAAGTCTGTGTTAAATTTAGAACCTTGATATGACTCAGTGTACCAGTTAGACTTTTTCATTCAGAAAACAAACAATTCTAGAATTTTAGTGAAAAAGGGATTTCATACACGGAGTTAAGATCATATGAAATGTTAAAAAAGACTTAGAAGAATTAGCTGAAGTTAACAACTTTTGTAGCTAAGACTCAGAGTTTGGGGGAATGGTTGTGCTACCACAACTACCTCACACGTATGAAGCTGGGCATGTGGATCGCTGGACACTTGCATGTGGATACTATTGGCTAAAGATACTAACATGACCTGATCTAACCAGCTACAGCAGTGGGGAGGTTCTCTCTGTCTCTCTCTCCTCACTCACTCTCTCCCCTGCTCCATCTTCTACATCTTTCATGAGAGTATCACTGGTGGAATGCGTGTCACATCTTGCCCCTACCTGTGGGGAAGCTGAGAGGTACAGGCTGTAGCCACCAAGCTTTCTTAATCCAAGGTGCATCATGGCAAGGGATGGAAATGTTTGCTGGAACTACATCCAGAAGACTTAGTTTGTTGTAAAGATCCCTGTTAGCCTCCTATCTGCATTTAGGAAGGTAAAAATATAACAAAACCTCCATCAAACTATTTTATATTCACAAGTAACTTCACATATGGCTAACATTTTATCAGTATCTGACACAAGCTCTCAAGGATTAAAAAATACTAAACATCCATCCAAAATTAAAATTTTAGCTTCTGTACTTAGTACAAGGAGAAATTTTAACCACAGAAGTTATACAGTCCCTATTCACATTGAATTCAGCTTTACTTATTTATCATATTCCAATGTAAGAACTAATGTTGATGGTAATAATAATTGTTATTATTATTCAGTGTTTATTGAGCACTAACCACTTCTCAAGTGTTTCCATAGCATTGCTTTTTTCATATTCACAACTACACAATGAAGCAGCACCACTGTTAACTCTATTTTACTCATGAGAAAATGTATAACTGGATTAACAGACTTGAATAATATCACACAACCCACCACAACTGATCTTGCTATCTTCTCCATCTTATTGATATAATCCACCAAACCAACCAAATCAGGAAATGCAGATATTGTCTATTCTTCTTTTCTCTCAGTCCTACATGAAACTCATCAGTGAGTCCAGTTGGCTTGATCTATGAACTATGTTTGAAATATTCCTCCTCTCTGTCATCTCTGTTACCACGCTAGTGCAAGCCACCTATGTCTCTTCAAGGTCACCCACCCCCTTGACTAGGCACCTTGCCTCTACCCTCAGGTGCAAGTGCATCCTGCTCCCATTCTGTAGTTAGAGTGAGGTTTTCTGCTTAAAACCATCATTGGCTTCTCACTGTTCCTAGAATAAAATCCCCAGCATGGCTTCTGCTCACCACTCCAAACTCACATCATTTAAATTCTCACCCTTATGCATAGCATTCCAGTCCCTCAGACTGTATTCATTTACTGGGGTGGCCATAACAGTAACAGCATCATGCAGACTGAGTGGCTTAAGTGACAGAAATTTATTTCTTCACAGTTCTGGGAACTGGGTATCAGCACCAGCACGGTCGGTATCTTCTGAGGTCCTCTGGGACAGATCTGCTCCAAGCCTTATCTCTTGCTTGTAAATGACCACCACCTAGCAGTATCATCACCCATCTCCATTCTGCATGTGCCTGTGTCCAAATTCCCTTTTCCTATAAGAACTACAGACACAGAGCCAAACCAAATGCCAGTGTTTTGATCTACCTAGTTTTTAGAAGTCTTTAACTCCAAATAGAGTCACATTCTGTGGTACTAGAGGTTGGGACTGCAAAATAATTTTTGCTTGAGGTCACAATTCAGACTATCAAACTAATCTTTCCATTTGCAGAAATACCGTCCACTTTCTCCCCGCCCCCTCCCTGCCTCCGAATTCTCACCCTGGGGTCTTTGCACTGGGTATAGCCCCGAATTTCCCTGCTGTAATCACTCTGCTCTGCATGCCTGGGTCATTTCTGTTATTCTGTCGGTATCTCAAATGTCTCTTCTTAAAGAGACTTTCCCGGACCACCCAAACTGAAGTAGTTTCCAAGTTATTTCCTTTATTATCACATCCCTCTATTTTCCCTTTTTATTTTATTTTTTAAAAAAATTACTGGGGCCAGCACTGTCGTGTAGTGGGCTAAGTTTCTGCCTGTAACACCGGCATCCCATATGGGTTTTTGTTTGTGTCCCGGCTGCTCCTCTTCTGATCCATCTCTCTGCTATGGCCTGCAAAAGAGGTAGAAGATGGCCCAAGTGCTTGGGCCTCTGCACCCATGTGAGAGACCCAGAAGATGCTCCAGGCTTCCAGCTTTAGACCAGTCCAGCTCTGGCTGTTGCAGCCATTTGGGAAGTGAACCAGCAGATGAAGACCTTTGTCTCTCCTTCTGTCTGTAACTCTGATTACATATACAAATATATGTATATTACATATACAAATGCATAAATAAAAACTTACAAAGTGATTTATTTATGTATTTGAAAGGCAGAGTTCAAGAGAGAGAGACAGAGAAAGAGAAATTTCTTCCACCTGCTGGTTCACTCCTCAAATGGCTTCAGTGGCCGGAGCTGGGCCGATCCAAAGCCGGGAGCCTGGAGCCTCTTCGGGGTCTCCCACCTGGGTGCAGGGGCTCAAGCATTTGGGCCATCCTCCAGATGCTTTCTCAGGTGCATTAGCATAGAGCTGGGTGGGAAGTGGACAAGAATTTATCCAGTGCCCATGTGGAATGCTGATGCCACAGTGGGTGGCTTCACCCAGCATGCCACGAGGCCACCCCCCCATTTTATATTTTTGAATCAGATCCATCGCTTTCTGTTACTTTCTGTTGCTTATCTATTTTCCCAAGTATGAGCCAGCATGTAAGTTGTGAGAGGGCAGATACCTTGGCTGACTTGTTCAATGTCTTCTCCCACCCCATGAAACATTGCCAGCCTCACCCATGAGAACAGGAA